AAAGCATACTCTATATACCGAATTTTAGCTACCTAGGCATTTATAAGTATAGATAGATAGATTACCACGGTTGGTATGAAATATGTTTTTCACGAATTGGTTGTTTTAGATTCCATTGACTTTATATTTTCAAAAGCTTACATTCATATAAATTTATGACTGTAATCAAAATCTACTCATTACTCTAGGGAAGCTTGATAAGGAATTAAATACAAAGTGAGTGAAGAAAATAGCATTAACATTTTCGATGATCTTTTATAAACTTTCATGAAGACATAGTAGACATAATTGAAACTTGGATCCTTATATCGTGAGGAATTTCACTTGATTGTACGAAATGCGTAGTGCAATTGAATTTCCACCTATCAAAATAACGCCTAAATTTACAAATGAGCATACAGATCTTCAATTCATGAACCATTATGTTAATATTATGTACATATTTATTTTCAAATCTATTTATTTAAAATGACGACGGACATTGTCAAACTGTCACTTGTGTGCGCTTAGTTCCTCTGTAAACGGAATACTGAAATTTCTTGGATCTCTTTATTATCTCACCAAGAGTACCGTGGGTCTCTTTTCTACAAAATATTTTGTAGAAAAGAGGTCCAATAAATCGTACCAGAGTGTTGTATCCATCTTGAATCCGTCAGGTGAAATGGAAACTCTTTCTCAACCGTCGGCCAAGACATTTCGTTGTATAATAATTATGAATCCAATTGTGTCTCATTCTGGATGAATTGTTGAATAATTGTATTCGTATCTTTTATGTATATTTCGTATGTAACGTTTGATATGTATGGAATAACAGTAAATTTCGAATTGTGGAACAAGACAAAGCGAACAAATTTCAATATGCTTCATAGCTGGACTATTAAAAAATAAGGTTATTGTTCAAATTTCGCGGGCTACGTACATTCGATTAGCGAATTTTTTTATGTTGGTACTCTTGTCTCGAACATATGTTCCCAGTTTCAAGTGGCTGGGATGTTTATTTTCTTGGTGAGAAGCATAAGAGTTGAAAGTGTTTTGTTCGGCGATTTTCTACTATCGAAAAAAATGGATCACAAAATTTGCATCAAATTTCATGTGAAAAATGGAATTGAGTTGGCTCATGGCTTGCAATTTTTTTGTAAATTTCGGGACTGAAGCATGTGGCAGCAAAGTTCAATCCAAAATTGCTGAATGAGCATAGCTAAGATTTGTTGAAAAGAATCATAACTGTTAGAAACAATCACAAACATCCAAATTTGGATTTCAATCAAATAAATACCAGGAGTTTGAAGAGAAAATCTCGATATTTTATCCGTTTTCTCTCCTCTTTTCGGATGATACTCGTCTCGCCAGGAGCTCAAAACTCCACGACAAATATCGTCTTGCTCTGGTGGTCGAGAATGACTACATCAGGCTTATTAGCTTGTATGAATCTTAGGGTGGGGAACGAATAGTTCCAATAAATTCAGCACTTCTCCTTCCCCACAACGGATTCAATATCTTCCGGAGCGTAGGGCAACAACGGTGTCTCGTCAATACCGTAATTGTGGCGTAGATGGTAGTATAGCACTCTAAGAGCCGCGTTATGTCGATAGATGTAGGCCGAGACTGCATATGCTGGACATGCTGATAGCAAGTGCATTAGGTTATCGTGCGCCTCACGGCTGGTCCTGTGTCAGGAACCTTTGTACTCATCACGCGACTGCGGTTGACTAAGGTGTTGAAGACACCATCCTGGCAAGCCATGATGAACCCCTCAGTTTCCGACTTCAGCCCACTCGACCTGAGGAAAGTCATGCGATTTGATAAGCCACGATCTCTAATATTATTGATGAAGGCCCCATGTATTGGCTTATCCTTGTGTTTCCGCAGAAGTGAGGTGATCTCTGCGGCTTTTAAATGAGCTTTCTACTGAACTAAATCGAAACTGAAGTTCAAGCCCAGCAGAGCCAAGTTTGATCAAATGTCAAGGTTTTGCTCACTGTTTTCTTCGATTACCGTGACGTAATGCATCAGGTCGCACATGGTCGCACGGTCAGAGAAAGTATTATTTTGAAGTCATGCGTCGCTTGCGAGAAGCAATATGAATAAAACGTCCCTTATTGTGGAAAAACATTTCATGACTTTTGCATCACGAAATGCACCTGATCACTCGTTATTGCTTGTTCGTAATTTTTGGCCAAAGACATGACTATAATCATGCCTATCCACATTATTCAAGGGACTTGGTCCTCTGCGAATGTTTTCTGCCCCCAAGGTTGAAGAGGATTGAAAACAAATCTTGGTACAAGTGTATTATATCTGAGGGGGACCAATTTGGAGGGAGTAAAATAGAAATCTATTGATAAATACATATTTTTTTTGAGAAAAATTCAAATTCAACTTATTTTTTGAACAGGTAGCGTATGTTCCATGCAGTGTGCTATTCAACAACTAATGCCTAGAAGCAGTGTTTTCTTCAATTACAATATGTAATGAGGTTGGTGGAAAATAATAAAAATATTGACAAAGCTCTCTTGTTATTCGTCCTTACCTTTCCTTCAACTTCTCTTGGAGTTCTAGAAGTTTTTTGTAATATAATGCCATTCCTCCTTTGGCTGGCGCTTCCATTATTTCGTCGGGTGCAGCAGATTTGTCGCTAACAAATAATTTTCATATGTCTAGTGAATGACATTAACATGCGCTGTGGACGACAGTTCGAATATTTGAATGCATGACAAACTTCGTTTGCGGTTCAAATATAGAATATGGGTCAATCGATATTCCACTTTCTTACATTACTGTGGTTGTGGCGCAGTTCAGATGCAAATATATGGCTAGTTTGTCCGTTTTTCATTCATGTTTCTGATAATGATGATGATTTTCCAGAATAAGACGAAATGAAATTATGAAATGAAATTATATTTCAAATCTAATGGACCACTCTAAAGTACATATTTGACGAAAAATTACGTATATTAACAATGAAACTTATCTAAAAAGATGTAATACTAATATAATTTCAAAATTCTTTATTTATCAATGAAGAAAGACAAGAGAAACACGGTATCATACTATCTTCGAATATAAAAAATTATTTAACCTGATCCACAATATTTTGAAGTTAGTTGAGACTAGTGTTGAAATAACGATGAGATTGGAACCTTTGGTGTGAAAGTTGAATAACTTTTTTCGAGATCAATTGCCCTAACACCAAACTGATATTTTTGCACTCGACGCGCGTTTCGCCAACAAAGTTAGCATCCTCAGGAGAAGAAAATTGATACCTATTAAAAATTACAGAATTATCGTTTAATTGTCGCCCTAAGTTTTTTTCTTTCCAATACTAATGACCTAATAGTGAATCAAAATACGAACACTTCCCTATAGTAACTAGGTATACTAATATATTCTGAAGACAACACTTTCCTGCTGAAACGAGAAAAGTGTGGCAGTTCTACCCTCATGATGGTTAATCATGAAAAAACATTAATAGCAACATTTCAACACTATTGAATAACTTTTTTCGAGATCAATTGCCCTAACACCAAAATGATATTTTTGTACTCGACGCGCGTTTCGCGAACAAAGTTAGCATACTCAGGAGAAGAAAATTGATACCTAGTCTAGTCTGGTTAGTCCTTATATACTAAAATTTGTTACCTGAGGTTGTATACCTGAAGTCTAATATGGAATTTCTCGGTAATTAACTACCTGCAAGCTCTTAGTAATTATTCTCTTCCTAACAGAAGATTAAACAGCGGGCTAAACAAACTGTTGCAACACCATGGAATTATAAAACAACTTTTCTGGTTGGGATACCCACTCTACTCTCGCATCTCAAGATGCCGCACTAAGGCGAAAATCCTAGCTGGACAAATGCAGAAGGCTGTAATTCTTGGCTCACTGCGTTTGCTCAGGGCACATGATTCTCGGACCCAATGATCACTTACCCCATGGTGTGGGGAGTGATCGTTGGTTAATAATACTAATGCGCCCCAAAAAATGTATCGGGGCTTCTGGGAATAGGGCTCGAACAACGCAACCTTGAGTTGAAAATAATAATAATGTGTGACTCTATCATAAAAAAAATGAAAAACTATGCTTTACAATGATTCAAATATTGGGCGACGTTCAATTCATTAAGTCGATAAATTAAATGTCTGTTCTTTCAACTAACCCTAAACAGACAGATAAAATAGACGAAGGGAGTAAACAAAGAGGAACTCAGTGATTAATGAATAGACTGGTTCAAAAGATACGTCCGAATATCGTTTGTTTGGGCCTATCAACCGATTTTTCATTTCGATGTCAGATACCATGTTTTGTTTTGGAGCAACCGATATCTTCAAGACAGATGATATTATTATTCTCATATCTATTTTGGGAAAATTTATGGACGAAGCACTCAAAAAATATATCAAATAGGAAGGTGATTCAATTCAAATAAGTTTTTTGGTGGGTTTTGTTACATAGGTTCCGTTTTTGGATGGTCTTGTTTGTGGGTCCGGTGTTATAAACTTATGCGTTAGACTTAGGTCGGGTTAGTATACAATATATTTATGGGGCTACAATATTCTCTTTATTATATGTTAGTGAATCTTGAGTTTGTTAGTTGTTAGTTTTACAAGTATAATGTGGTAACAACGCTCTTATTCTAAAGAAGAGGTTTGGTATACTTCTTCTTGTGCATCGCGATTCGTGATCGGGCACAATAGCATGAGTTGATTTTCGGCTTGGTTTTGGTCTGGCCTGCGATGATATAGGGATTGCCTTCGAAAATTCAACCATGATCTCCTGGAACTGCTTCGGAATATCCTCCAGGGCTCCTAGGAACCCTGGGGGAAACGGAAGCATCTTCCTCGGGATTGCACATGGCTTACAGGGAGTTGACAGCGTGTCAGTGACAGCGGTGTTTGTGCTGTTCAGAGTTCGGATTAAGAGTTTCTGGAATCTTTCGTTAATATGTGTGAGTTTGACGCTATCATATAGTTGGTTGGATGGGAAACGGTAGGAAAGGTTGTAAATGTTTCGAACAATTCCTCTTCTGGTAGTAGCAAGGCCAAATGTCATGACCAAAAGTGCAGTACTCAGGATGTGTCGGTCCATTTTGAAAAAAGCCGCATGGCAAGTGTAGTGTGAATGTTGACCGTTGGGGTTCTAAGGTCTCACTTCATTGTTCATTTCAAACTATAATTTATTTCAAACTGTAGGAAAATAATGAAGTGGTGCAACGAGAAAGCCATTACAACAATTGACATGTAATCATTGCTCGTCGTCATTCGGAAATAGCTCCCGAAACTACTTCTATATCTGTAGTCGAAAGTTAATTCAGAAACCAATTTTATATATCTGTCAACCACTCACTTTTTTGTGATTTTTTCAATGCCATATTTTACTTCACTTAACTCGAAAATCTCAATAGAAAGTGTAAATTTTTGAACTTTGACATCGAAGTGTACCTCATTTACTACAGAAAAAATGGTAGTATGAAAATACTAATTATTTAATTAGTGACAGTGATAAAGTGTGGTTATTAATTCACAATAATGTAAGGTAGCTTTGACAATTTCACTATTTCACTGGTATACAAAAATGAACAACAAAGTATATTCGAAATTTTTTTGTAGTTAAGGGGGTATACTTTGATATCAAAGTTCAAAAAATATGAAAAATGAGTGGAATATGACATTAAAAAAAATAAGGAAAAGGATAAAATTCCGTCGTTTGCTATTCCATATATCAAATTGTTTGACAATGTCTCCATTGCTGACATCATAGTGCCGCCATATTAAATTTGGAGAAAATGGATTCTAGCCGTCATTTTGAATGGAAATGGCCACATGTGTTATATCGTTCAAAAGAGACTTCCAAATTGAAGTACCTGTTGATAAAGTTCATTAGAATGAGAACAATATATACTTTTCACGAAGTACTTCCAGTTGAGCTGAAAATTTTGGAGGTAATTTTCAAACTGTATGCCAATGGAAATTGTGAAAAAAAGGTATGACCGGTACTCCGGTACTTTCAGTAACGAAATATAATTCTCGAGAACATTATCGTCATATTGTTCATTGACCCAATTACTGTAAAATAAGTACCGTTGAGATTCAAGCTAAGAATGTATACATATTGGAAATATCCCGAATAACATGGAATTGAAATGACCTCTGCTTCGTCATATGACCCCACAGTAATAATATGGAGTTTCATTCATAGACCAGCCAACAAAGTCGGTTAAATCTTCAAGTTATCCTATAGATAATCGATGTTGAAGTTTCAGTGATTTGAAATACTCTAAATTTCATCTATCATGTATCTGAGCGTTTCACCGACCAAGTTGGCGTCATTTGGAAATGATATATGGTCAGATCCAGTATAGTTCATCTTCAGTTCTATCTTTTACTTTCTACGATTTGTTGAACATGTATTGAAATTATTTGTACATATTTAGAAAATGATGACACAGCGCAACCTTTTTCGTTTGTGAAATGTTTTCAGAAATTGTCGATCCATCGGGAACTACTGCATAACAAATTGATTAAAAAGTTCGGAATCTTCCACTATAAATGAAACCTTAAATCCTTCACAATTTCTCTCTCAACAAACCCAGGAGAGAAATGTTAACTGGTTGTATGTGGCGTCAACTTAATCGGATTGGGGATTCAAAATCTTGCTATAGAATACGGCTTTTCTGTTGAAACGTGCTGTTACCTTCAGTTTGATAGACTGGCTGGCCAGTAGAACACGAAACCAATATCACGAAGAATACAATTACAAAAATGAGAAAAAAATGTTGGACTTGATACAGTACAAGTTTCTCCAGCGGATTTACGATATATCTCGTCTTTCTCTCTGGCGTACCGGGTTCGGATTTTAAAGATGTGAACACGCAAAAACAGCTCAGTTTTACGCGGTGAGCCAAATCAATGGAATAAATACTAAATCGATTATAGAAAGTCTGAAAAATCAACACTTGCAAATACTATTAGAAAAATACTAGTTTGAGCAGAAACCGACAGGGCCATTATGTATACACTTCAATATAAAAAATACGCGTCCTTCCGTTGGAAATATATTTGTGTAATGCAAATTCTTTTGAAGCTACACCATTTTACGGATTTGATGCAGTTTCTCCTGAGTTCACTTCTCTTCTCCAAATTGTCTAAAACAAAGCATTATCCCAATCACCAACCAAGTTGGCGTCTTCAGGAAACGAACAAAAGTGCTTGTTGTGGATTAATTCTACGCTAGAGAGGTTCCAGTTTCATCTTTCATCTACTCTAAGTTGAGCAAGATCGAAAAAGCAAGAATACCTAAGGGACAACTAGGGACAGAGTCACCAAATGGTGATTATAACTCTTCATGTTTTAATATTAGAAAAACATAGTATAGAAAATACAACGCATTTCAAATTCTTAGATCTACTTATAAATAATAGATCAAAATTTGATGAACACATAAACAAAAAATAAGCATCAGGGTTTGACGCTCTTGAAGTTGTCGCAAATGAACTGATTTCAACCACAGCAAAAACGGTATACCCGTAACACGCTTCATTTGAAGCTTATTTGAGGTACGCTATAGTTTTTTTGAAACACTGCAGCCAACATCTTTTCCATGCATTATTTATTTTGTTTTATGAGAGCAGAATGCTTTACAATCAAATTTCCTCGGAATTTCGAACTATATTCATCCATGCACTGTTGCTGAGTTAA